TCTTTCATTTCCCAGTTTGGTTCCGTCCATATTTATCTTTCTTAGAAATATCTGTATTCTTTGTAACTTGAGGAAGGATTTTAGACCAATGGGTTTTGTTTACCTAAACCAACTTTACATTACAGGCTGATAGATACATCGATCAATCATTCATTTAATCAGTTAATCTTTAGTAAGATCATATATCATTATAAGCTGCAATATCTAATTGGGAGGAACAATAGAGGGAGAGATGTTGGGTTAAAGGAACAATGAAAACCAAACAGAGAATTCAGGATTCACCTACAATTTACAAATAGTCCAAAATGCAAAGGCATGCACAATGTTCAGTTTCCATGTGTTTTTCCATAGGACCCACCTACTGTGCAGGCTGCACAGAATCCCAGTTTCTTTCCAGGTGCAATTAAGTTCAACTTTCAAACCCTCCATTAGACAAAACCAGGGTATCTGCAGGGCTTCCTCTCCTTGAGGATATCTGCTTGTCCCACAAGAGCATATAATAATTGGCATGCAAACAATCTGTTCCCTTAAAGGATTCCCACTTTATGGATCATCAGAAGCCTTCCTTTTCTGATGCAGTTCCTGCCTTATTGGATCCACTCCCCCTTGAAATTGAATAGGTCCCCAATCTCTTAAATCTCTGAACACGTGCTACTTCTCCCAACATTTGGGATAGGGTAAGGTCAGTGCTGGATAAGAATCTGGTGGATTACCTCAGAGAAGGGAGGATGCAGCACCAGATAGATTTTCTTTTAAATTTATGTTGTTGTTGTTCTTTTTATACTTCTATGTATTGGGGATTTTTTTTGCTGTTGTTGTGTAAGTATATTCCATTTACTGAGACTTTTCTGTCTCTCTGTTTCACATCTTATCCAAAGATTTTCTTGAAATTTGAAAGACTATAAAAGAAATGTTACTTTCTTTTCTCAGATACCACAAAATGCACCCAATGCCCAGATGATCAATATCCAACTGAGAACCGAGTCCAGTGTATCCCCAAAAGAATAACTTTCCTGTCCTATGAAGAACATCTCAGCATCATCCTCATCTCCTTTGCTCTTCTCTTATTCCTAATCACAGGCTTTGTTTTATTCATATTTATTAAATACCTTGAAACTCCTATTGTCAAAGCCAACAACCGGGACCTCTCCTACATCCTCCTGGTCTCCCTTCTGCTTTGCTTCTTGTCCTCCTTGTTCTTCATTGGCCGACCAAGGAAAGCCACCTGCCTTCTCCGACAAACAGTGTTCAGCATTGTCTTCTCAGTAGCTGTGTCATCTGTGTTGGCCAAAACGATCACAGTTGTGCTGGCATTCCTAGCCTCAAAACCAGGCAACAAAGTGAAAAGATGGTTGGGGAAGAGCTTGGCCAACTCCATCATCCTTTCTTGTTCTGCTGTCCAGATTTTCATCTGTGCCATGTGGTTGGGAGCTTCTCCCCCATTTCCTGACTCTGATCTGCACTCCCAGCCTGGAGAGATTATCCTTCAATGCAACGAAGGCTCTATCATCATGTTTTATGTTGTCCTTGGCTACATGGGCTTCCTTGCTGCAATTTGCTTCACTGTGGCTTTCCTGGCCAGGAACCTTCCTGGAGCTTTCAATGAAGCCAAGCTGATCACCTTCAGCATGCTGGTCTTCTGCAGTGCCTGGGTTTCCTTCCTCCCCACTTACCTGAGCACTAAAGGAAAATACATGGTGGCTGTGCAGGTCTTCTCCATCTTGTCCTCCAGTGCTGGACTGTTGGGCTGCATCTTTTTCCCCAAGTGCTACATTATCATCCTGAGACCAAATCTAAACACTAAGGAACATCTAATGACAAAAGCAGGAGAATGATGGTGAAATTATTTCTTAGGTTTATAACTTTTCATTATGCATTATTATTGGTTTATATGCTTTGGAATTGCTTGTCAAACTTACGTTTATTATAATTGAAGGAAATAAATATGTGTAGTTTGATAGTTAAATACAAATTCAAGATAATCATCAAATACATTAAAGATAGATAGATAGATAGATAGATAGATAGATAGATAGATAGATAGATAGATAGATAGCAGACATTTATTTATATACTGTAACTTCCTGACAGGTTTGGCATATCGGTATTAAAGTGAATTGGACTGAAGAGGATTGAAAATAAAACTCATCCTGATCTGGTTTGGGGATTCAGTAGCTCAACCAAGCTGAGGCAGGTACAAGAAGGCCATGGGTCAACTCCCAGACTGAAATGAAAATCAACTTTACTAAAGGTGTTGAAAGAAAATGCTGTAAGGTTGGAATAGAACAGAACAGAATAGAAAGGGATCTTGTAGGTCTTCTAGTCCAGCCCCCTGCTGGAACAGGAGAACATATACCAGTGATGGCGAACCTTTTAGAGACCAAGTGCCCAAAAACTGGCCCCGCCTCAGCTCCACCTCTGCCCTGCCCTCAACCCGTCCCCCACCTTGCCTGCCCGCAGGGCCACTCACCACCTCCAGGGTCCGCTGCAGCTTGCCCAGGCAGCCCAGCAGCGCTATGGTGGTCATGCCCTTTGCCTGCACCCTGCAGCATCAACTGTGCACGATGGGTGTGAGGGAAGAGTTTTGTCTATGCTGCTTGGCTTCTATATCATTGGCTGTGCTGCTCCATGTGGGCCACACTCAGGGGCGACTCTCCTTCAGGGTGGCTTCTGGAGAGGAAGAGGTCGCAGGGGAGGTGAGGCTGGGGCAATGGCATGTGTGCCCACAGAGAGGCTCTGAGTGCCACTTCTGCCACCCATGCCATAGATTCACCAACACTGACCTATACTTTTTCAGACAAGCAACTGTCCAGTCTCCTCTGAAAAACCTCCAGTGATGGAGTGCCCACAACTTTTGGGAGTAAGCTGTTCCCGTTTATTTGTCCTCAGCATCAGGAAGTTTCTCTTTAATTCCAGGTTGCTTCTCTCTTTGGTCAGTTTCTATCCGTTGTTTCTCGCCTGCCCTCTGGTGCTTGGTAGAATAATTTGACCTCACCCCCTCTTCGTTGTGGCAGCCCCCCCAAATACTGGAATGCTGCTATCATGTCACCCCTATTTCTTTAGACTTGCCAGACTCAAGAAAGGAAGAGTGGTTGAGAATCATGCGGGGGGGGGGCAGGGTCCCAAAAGAAGTGCACCTCCCAGAAAAACACCCCCTCCCCCCATCCAGACCCACTGATTCCACCTCTGGGACTGGGAGACTCCACGTCTTTCTCCCCTCTCTTTGGGGGCGCTTGTGGGGCAGCATCCAGGGGCTCTGTTGGGCTCCCCCTGAAGTTGCTGCTGGTTGGAACACTGGCCTGGATCCTTGGAAGCCAAGGGGGGAAGGAGACCCCCGGTAAGGAGGGGGCCGAGAGGGAGAGGAGAGGGGCTGGGGGGAGGATATGGTTGGGAGGAACCCCTGATACTTGTTGGGGGGGAAGAAAGCTGCTGGGTCTCCAGCCGTACTTTGGGAAACTGGTCGAGGGTAAGAGTGGTGGAAGTCTGCAAAAGCCTCCATCTCTGCGTGGTCTCCTCCCCCTTTCTCCCCACATCCCCCCCAGGGGGACGCAGAGGGACCCGCTCTTTCCCAATTTTAGCCGAGGTGGGGAGTCGCAGCCGGGCCCGTCTCTCGCTCCTCTCCCCCCAATATCTGGGTCAGAGTCGGCTGCATCGAAAGAGGAAGGAGGCGGAAAGCGAAAGCGAAAGCGAAAGAGGGAAATTTTCCAACCTGAATCCACAGAAAGAAAAAGATGCATTTTAGAAAATGTATTTTTGCTTCTTCGGAAACTTCACTTTTTCTTCTGAATCTCAAATTTGAGGCTTTGAAGGTCCCGCAAGAGTGGAGCTTCGGTCCCTTCTGGGGGAGACTCTAGATTTGGGGAGGAGACCAAGAACCCCCCCACCTCCATAATCCCCCATTGCTCAGTTGGGACCTGGAGGGGAGGGGGGAACTGAGGGAGGAGGACTTGGGGGCGGGTCTGAATTGGGGGATGCTTTCAGTCTTGGGGGGCTGCAGCTCAAGGGGGTGTTTCAGAGCAGCCCTGCAGGGGAGTTTGGATTTCATTTTGCTCTCCCCCCCCTTGATCCTGCCTAAGTGGCTGCAGGGAGGGAAGCACGCAGCCAGGGGGGACTTGGGGGTCTCTGAAGCGGCTGACTGAGGAGACCAGCCCCTCCTCACCGAGGTTTCCATTCCCTGCTTTGCTTCCAGAGAAGTGGCCCAGTGCCCCCCTCCAGCAGCAGGGAGAGCCCAGGGACGCCCCCAGCCCCAAAGGTGGAATCAGGGGGGGTCCTCCGAGAAGGGGCGGAGGAGGCATTTTCCTCGGAATTCAGAACTGGAAATGCCCTGACGGAGAGGAACCAATGGGAAATCTCCCTCCTGCAGCATCATCTGTCTCCGGGCGGAGTCCCCTGTGACTTCACCCACCGGCAGACACAGCGAAGGTGATCCAGGGAGGGACGTCTCCCCCCCCCTCCATCCCCAGGGAGGCCGCCCTGCTCTCCGCCCTCCCTCCCCGGCCCTGGCACCTTTTGGGGGGCGAGATGGACGTGGGGGAAAATTGTCTGGAGGGGAGCAACCGAGGGGATCAGGGTCCCGAAGAGGGAGGGAGGCGGGGGGGGCGCTGGGTGCGAATGGGGCAGGAGCCTCCGTGGCTTGTGAGGGGCTCAAACGGGCTCCGATCCTGGAGAAAGAGGCCCGGATGAAGCCAGGAGAACCTCCAGCTCCAGAAGCTTCCCAGCCACGGAAGAGGCTCTCGGGGGAAGCAGGAATAGGGGGTCTCCCAGGGGTCCCCTCCTTCTGGCAGGGCTTGGAGAGATTGAGGAGGGGGTCCTGCCCCTTCCCCTCCCTGGGATCTGCCCACCCTCCTCCCGAACCGGTTCTGGATTTAGGCCTAAACTAGCCTGGATAGTCAATCCAGAGACAGGGGAGGCCTCAATTTGGGGAGGGGGAGGGGAGAAGGGAGGACTCTCTGAGGGGGGTCAGGAAAGAAGAGGAGGAAGAGGAAGGAAGGAGGGAGGAATTCCAGTATTTTTCCTACAATATAAATTTTATTCTTTTATAGCAAAGGGAAGGGAAGGGATTCGTAGGAAGAGTAATGGGGATGAAGCTGCTGTGGGTTCAAAGGGGGGAGAGATTTGGGCTTCTGGACTGGCAGGCAGGCCCAGAGTCCCTGGGGTCAGTCTAGATGGTCTCCACCCCTCCCTCCCAAGAAAAGGAGGCCCTGAAAGAAAGATGAGGGGCCTCTCAGCAGGAAAAGCTCCAGGCTGCCATTCCCTCCTCCCCCCAATCTAAAATCTTGAGCCTCCATTTTTCAGAGGTTGCAAAAGAGACAGAAATTCATCAGCTACTGAAAAAAAAAAACTTCCTTTCCCATCAGGAATCAGGAAGGACGGCAGAATTAATTCACAAGTGCTGAAGAAAAAGAGACGAGGAAGAAAATTAGAATATAAACCATCAGTGTTAATAACGTATTATTCATACAGCCTCTCCCCCCCAGGAAAACCCACACTGCAGGGAGGTGGTTGATAGGCAGGGGCAGAATGAGGGAGAATCCCCCCCCTTTCAGGGATGAAAAGGATGCAAATAACCAGCAATTCATCTTCTGGGGCTGATGGAATTTTCCCCAATTGAATTAATTGGGGGGGGGTTAATCAAGAGAGGAGGCCTCCCCCCCAGATGTTTCATATTAACAAAGAAGATGGGGTCAGGATGGGGCCTGGTAGCAAATCCGGGTGTCACTTTGCCAGGAATTGTGTGAAATGTCACAACGAGACTTCCTTTCCCAATGCAATTTCCCAAAACCTGGAAACCTCCTGGGCCAGATTTTAGTGTTTGTGTGTGTGTGTTTGTTTTTCATTGCACTATTTTCAGGTCTCTGAAAGGAAAAGCTGCTCAAAATTTCAAAAATTTGTGTTATCCACAGCTAGGAGGTTTTGTTCAGGCACATTTTTTTTTTTTTAAAAAAAAAAGGAACAATTAATGAATGTTCAAGAAACATCCATAACTTGGGGAGAAACTCACCTGCAGGAGGCTGGATGGGAGTTGCTGGAAGGAGAAAAAGAGCCAATCAGGACCCTTCATGGCCTGGAGGATTCAGGGGGTCCCCCTCCCCATCAATAGCCCATAATAGGTTGCACAATGCTCACTTATACAGTAGACTCTCAGAGAACAGACTTTCCCAAGCAAATTTCCAAGGGGGCCTCCTTGCCATCTGCTAAGCTTGCTGAGAGGCCTCCCCTGGATGGTCCCCTCCCCACAATCTCTCATCCAGCCCCCCAGACTCACCTTTCTTGCTCTTCAGGTGGAGGGAGAGCCCCATGGCAAAGAAGATCACCCCGATCACGGCCGCCACGATCCCTGTCCAGAGTTTGCTCCTGGCAGAATTGGAGGATCTGGGCTCTGGGGAAGGAGAAGGAGCCTCACTGAGTAGGAAGATCAGGGCCAGCTCCCCCCCCCAGGAGGGTCCATCCCAGCTCCCCCCACAGGGAGGGTCTCTCCCCCCTTCTCAGGGCAGGAAAGGGTCTCCAGAGGGGGAGGGGAGGGGCTCACCCCACTGGACGGTGATCGGGGCCTCCAGGCTGGCATGCTCCACCTGGCAGGTGTAGACGTCCCCCCGCTGGGGCTGGGTCTCCAGCATCACCTGGAGCTGGTAGGTCCAGTCTCCGTTCTGCAGCTCCTCCCCGAAGGCCACGCCCTCCTCCTCCGGCCGCCCGTTCTTCAGCCACCGGACCTTAATCTCCACGGGGTAGAAGCCCCTCGCGATGCAGAGGAGGATGGTGTTAGGGGAAGTGGGATCCAGCTTGGTGGGGGAGATGGAGACGGTGGGCTTGGCTGGAGGGGAGGAGGGGGAGGAGGAGAAGGGACATGGGGGGGAGACACAGGAGGGGCCAGAACAGGAGACCAAGTTGGTTAGTTCAGGCCAAGAGCCCTTTTCAGTCCTGAAAATATTATTTGTTTTAAGTCGTTTCCAAAGCAAATTCCAGCAAGAAATTAAATGGGATCCTGAAAGATGGAAAAACATAAATCGTTCCTGGTTGGGATCAGTTTCCATCATATTGCACAAGTCCAACAGAAATAAATACTGGAAACGCCCCAGGATGGAAGGAATTTCCTGCCAGATTTGGGGGAGATGCAAAGAGACCCAGAAGACGGGGAAGATACACAGCATGTTTTGGAGAATTGCAGGGATCCCACTCAAAAGAAAACCACATTTTTTTAAAAAATAGGTAGAATACCAGAACATTTATTTATTTATTAAATTTGTTTGCCACCATTTCATGATAAAATGACTCTAGGCAGCTGACAGCAGGGCTTTTCAACTGGTGGTAAGTGTACCACCTGTGGTACATGAACACATGACAGATGGTATGCTGCCCTGCCCAGCCAAGTGTAGTGGGGGAGCGAACGAGCCAGCAAAGGAAGGACTTACTGTGAGTGGAGCTGCAGAGTGGCTGGGGTGAGGCAAAGGCCCCAGGCTCATTTCCGGTTCACCCCCCTCCCCCATGAGAAAGGAGGAAGAGGGCGCAGAGACAGCTGGTGGCTGAGGAGATCAGGCAGATCCCAGGACCACAGAAGAGATCCCTCTTGATCTCCTCCTTCAGCAAATGGCTCAACCCTTGGGTGGATTAATGGGGGGGTGAGTGAGCTCCCCCCCAAGAGGGTCCTTCATAGATCCACTCCAGATCAGAGAACTTTTGCTAACAACGTTTCTCTCCATTGAGGGATTCTCTTATGAACACCTCATTATATAAAGTTTAAGAACATGCAATTTTTAAAGGTTTGGTTATTTGTAATTTAGTCCTGGGATCTGGTCGGGATTTTTTTATGAACAGTTAATTATCCTCCCAGGTTTGCAGGGAAGAATTTAGGAGTAAAAATGAATTCTAGACTGAATATGCGGAGAACAAAATCTGTGTTGGTTCCCATTAAATATTCCATAATTTTTGGAAGGAGAAAATGCCCAGCATCTCCCCATAAAATGCCTTTTTCTCTTGGGATCTGGTGGTTTTTCTCTCATGGAAGAAAGATCTTCTTTAATTCTTTGGTAGCGTATTATTTTGGGAGACCCTGGCAACAACAAATGGCAACAACTGCAGATGAAACTCTGGTTTTGCACTATGAAACCTTATCAGTTGATAGAAATAAATAATAATAATACAAACAAATAAAATTAGACCAACAAACGTAGGCAATTTGCCAGGAATCTGGAACAGGGAACTAAACAACCTGAGGCTTCAGGGCTGAACGATGCCCAAAATTCAGTTTTAATGTTTGTGGGGTTTTTTTTAATCCTTGCCCCCAAATGAGAAACCTTCCCAGATACGAAGAGGGAAGCGATTTGGCTGCAGGTGAAGCTGAGTCTCTGACCAAAAAGGGGGTTTCAGGGGGGGCTTTTCTCCCAGACCCCCAACATTGGATGAACAAATGACTCTGAATAAAGGATAAAAAGAACTGAAAGAGGGTCAGGGCACAGCAGACGAAAGAGCCTTCCCTGATTCCCTTGTCCAGACCTTTGGAAGTTCACTTTTTATCCTAAAATCCCAAAGGCCCCAGAGGTGAAGGGAGCCCCTCCCCCACTCCTGGCCTTCCAGAAAGGGGGGGAAAGGGGGCTCTGGGGCTTTGCTTGGGGAGCAGAGAGGGGGAGGAGACAGCCGTGGGGCCGGTCAGCCTCCTGAAGCCCCCCCCCCAACCTTTTCATGAACTTTTATCACTGGATTTTAATCATTCCTGCCTTTTAAATCTTAAATTATATAGATTATTTTGGTGGTTTTATATTTTATGTGTACACCATGCAAAGTCCCTCTGTGGGAGAGAGACAGATGGTTTTAAAAGTTGATAAGTAAATCAATAAATATTATTTAATAAAAATATTATATTGAAATATTATATAGCATATAGTATAGATTATTGAAAAATTATACTGGGCAAAAGAGAGACCTTGCCGGATTCCTCCCCCCCCCCAAAAAAATATAATATTTGGTATAATTTTCTGGAAAGACGTTTTCTTAGGCACGGGAAACTTTAGACCTTGGGAAGAGAAGGAAGATGATGGGAAGGAGAGGAATCTATTTCTTCCCTTTGGCATGTTTGATTGTCATCGTTGTAGAATTTCAAACTTTTTAAAGGTAATTTAATTTTAACCTTATTTTATATACATTTTCATTTAGGGGTGATGTTATACCCTACGCCATCCAGATCCCCGCTTTGAGGGAGGGGAAGGGATTAGGAGTATCAATATATAGCAATAAATACCAAAGAATAAATTGCGTAGGTCGGAGGGCACAGAATACGTAAGGGGCAAATCTTTCTCTGGGAGAGTCCTAAGAAATGAAGTGAAAAGGGGGGAATGCATTCCCCCCCAATGGAACTCCCCCTCCCCCACTCACCTCTCCGGCCAACCACGGGGCTGCCCTGGAGACCCTCGTAGTTGTGCCGGCAGAAGGGATCCACTGAGGCCGTCATTTACTGCAGGTGCTGCTTTGCTTGGGGGGCAGCCGTGGGGCTGGTTAGCATCCCGAAGCCCCCCCACCTTTTCATGAATGTTTATCACTGGATTTTAATCATTCCTGCCTCTTAAATCTTAAATTGTATAGACTATTTTGGTGGTTTGATATTTTATGTGTACACCATGCAAAGTCCCTCTGTGGGGGAGATGGAGAGAGAAGGTTTTAAAAGTTGATAAGTAAATCAATAAAGAAATGTTGATTTATTAATATAAAATATTATATTGAAATATTATATAGCATATAGATTATCTTGAAATATATCTATATACTGGGAAAGAGAGAGATCTTGCTGGATTTCCCCCCCCCCAAAGAAAAGTATAAAACTTGGTATAATATTCTGGAAAGAAGATTTTCTGGGCAGGGGAAACTTTGGACCCTGGGAAGAGAAGGAAGATGGTGGGAGGGATGGGAAGGAGAGGAATACATTTCTTCCCTTGTGTGTGTTTCATGGTCATCGTTGTAGAATTTTAAACTTTTTAACTGTAATTTAATTTTAAAGCTTATTTGTTATACATTTTTATTTAGGGGTGATGTTATATTGTAGGCCATCCAGATCCCCGCTTTGAGGGGGGCGGTTTAGGAGTATCAATAGATATCAATAAATACCAATGAGTAAATTTCATAAATCTGAGAGCAGAGAATACATAAGAGAAGATGATAAGATAACCTTTATTGTCATTTTTTTACGGTGGGCACAATGGCTCACATCCAAAACGAAATTTAGTTGCCTGCTCTCAAAGTGAAAGACATACATGACACACCCTAAAAACATACTGTTGCGTCCTTCGCGAAATGGCAATGACACGAAAAGCAGTTGTAGTTCTCAGGAACTTCTTTATTTCTGTTCAGCATACTGGTTACAAGATGCCGACGACGCCCAAATCTCCCGGCCTCTTTTATAGGCCATTCCCGGGCCAATCTGCAACATTTGGCGTGCCAGCACCCGCGCATGCGCGCACGTACTGGCGACAGCCAGTCTGGTCCCGGGCAGCTTGCACCTGCCCAGGACCGTTGCAATGCCCCGAGCCTGCTTCCACAGGCTCAGGACATAACACCCCTTCCCCCCGGCTAAGACTATGATCATACAATAATAACATACAACCTAATGCGAGCGTGGTGCCCATACTACCTAGTGTCAGTTATTTCCTCTGTGTACAGGAATGTTTTCTGTTAACTCTGTTTTGCCAGTAGAGTTACAAAATCTTCCTAAACGTGTGCATGGAAATGATCGAGAGTGCAGACCCCGTATCCAGTTCCATAGCCAATGGAACCCCTTGTAGCTTCACTTTAAGTGACAGCTTTTTCTTGATGGGCTTGTGTGTGCCTGTCTTGTAAATGCTTCTTTGCGAAGCGCAGAACCCCACCCTGTTTTGGCTGGGAACCCTGGTACCTTTCAGGCGCAATTCTTCCTGAGGTTGTACCTTTGGATGGCCCAGACACACAGCTGCAATATGTCCCTGCTTTCCGCATGCTCTACAGATAGCGGAGCGGAATCTACAGTCGGTCCTCTTGTGGCGACCTCCACAACCGAGGCACCTGGGGAGAGCTGAAGAGCTTCCTTTCTGTTTCCTTTCTTTCGTGGGGTAGAGACGGTCTACTTCATCGTCAGGATCCTTCTCTGGGTTCCTTTGGGCTCCTTCCTGGTGCACGGACACAGCCTCTGGAGTGCTTCTGATCGGCCTCATGTTCTTGATGGCGCCGCCCGCTGCCTCTTCTGCAGTAACCTCTCTCAAGGCATCTTGGAATGATAAGTCTTCTTTGGCAAAAAGTCTCTGCTGTAATTCTCTATGCCTCAGTCCACATACAAATCTGTCTCTCAGCCGTTCTTCTAGATCCTTGAACTCACAGTGTTTAGCGGCTTTCCTCAGCGCAGCAATGTATTCTTTGGCTGATTCTCTGGGTCGCTGATCCCTCTGTTTGAAGGTGTGGCGCCAAGCGATGACGGACAGCTTGGGCTGGAAGTGTTCCTTGAGTAGTTTTTTGAGATCTGTGTAGTTAACAGATTCTAGAGGTACAGGTGCTGCTATGTTTTCAGCGATTTTGAATGCGTCTTGACCGCAAACGCACAGGAGGGTGGCGGCCTTCAAACTATCTTCTCTCACTTGGTTGACTTTAGGATAGTTTTCCACCCTGGCTACGTAAGACTCCCATCTCTCCGGATGCGAGATGTCGAATTCTGAAAGTCTTCCTAGTTTTGCCATTTTTGTAGAAAAGGAAGGGTCTATCAGCCAGCCTACCCCCGATACTCGCTGGATTGGCGGGTAGCTGCCGAGTCAACGCCGTTCCTACCGCTCAGGATTCTCTCGGGTAAGCTTACACCTGTCTTCGGTCGATGTAAGGCAATCCCACCTTCGTCGCCAGTGTTGCATCCTTTGCGAAATGGCAATGACACGAGAAGCAGTTGTAGTTCTCAGGAACTTCTTTATTTCTGTTCAGCATACTGGTTACAAGACGCCAAAGACGCCCAAATCTCCTGGCCTCTTTTATAGGCCATTCCCGGGCCAATCTGCAACATTTGGCGTGCCAGCACCCGCGCATGCGCGCACGTACTGGCGACAGCCAGTCTGGTCCCGGGCAGCTTGCACCTGCCCAGGACCATTGCAATGCCCCAAGCCTGTCTCCACAGGCTCAGGACATAACACATACTATGTGCAAGATATGTGCAGACCCTCAGCCCTCCATATACATGACAAATGAATATTAAACACTGTCCCTCTTGAGTATGTAAGGGAAGGAGGAAGCTGGAGAGGGGCAGATCTTTCTCTGGGAGAGTCCTAAGAAATGAAATGAAAAGGGGGTGTCCTTGCATTCCCCCCCCCGGAACTCCCCCCCCTCACCTCTCCGGCCAATCACGGGGCTGCCCTGGAGAGCCTCGTAGTTGTATCGGCAGAAGTAATCCACTTCGGCCTTCCGGTCCTGCAGGAGACGCTTATCCCTGTTGAAAGCCTCCGCATCCCCCTTCCCGAACGCCGTGACGGCCTCGAACTCCCCGCGGGCGCTGTCGAAGCGGACGAACTCCTGCTGGTCGTAGAACAGCCGCTCCAGTAGTCGCACCCGCCGTGTCCCGTTGAAGAAATGGCACTCGGCCTTCCCCTGGTACAGGAAATGGGCTGCGTGGGGGGGTGGAGCAGAAAGAAGAAAGCCCTCAGGAGAGACTCCAGGGCCCATGGTTCCCAGCAGGGGCAGAGCGACGGGAAGGCGGAGCGACAGGAGACCTGCCGCGAGGGACTGACAGAAGGCGCCCCCTGGAGGAGGGATGGGGAACTGTCGGTCCCAGCGGGATTCCCCCTTGGTGGGGGTCTGGAGGGGGAGGAAAATGAGGGAGGGGGAAAGAGGGACCCCCCTCCATCTCCCCAGGGTGGAAAAAGGCAGGCAGAAGTTCAGCCGGTCCAGTCTCCGTCCGTCTGCAGGGAACGCTGGATTCCCCCCCCCAAAGCGGCAGGAAATATGGGGGAGGGAAGAGACCCCCCCTCTGGGTTGGAGGGGAAATAGTATCCAAGCTTCTCTCTCCCTCTCCCTTTTGGGAGGAGAAGGGAAGGGGGGGTCACAATAAGGATACCCACACCCATGCTCCTGGGCTCTCCCCACCCTTCAAGCCCCCCCCTCCCTTTTCCCCCCTCTGCCCGATCTTCAGCCCCACAAGCTGCTTTTGGGTGCTTTTTAAGGCCTCTTTTCTGGCCCCCTCCCCCCTGCAGCCCCCCAAGACCACCTCAAAGGGAGGGACTCCAGCCCCCTTCACTAAAGGGGGGGTTTGGAGGAGCAACTCAGACCCCCCCCCAATATCCCTCCCAATAGAAGCGGAGAAGGTGAGGGAGGGGAAGATTTTCAGTCTTGGGGGCTGCAGCTTTAAAGGGGTGTCCAGGGGGGGTTGTGGACTTCCTTTTTTGCCCCCTCCCATGAATCTGAACCACAGTCTCCCTTTCTCTTTCTGCCTGGAGGGGTGGACTAGATGACCCTTTAAGCTCCCTTAAGACCCCCCATGGGGAGTCCAGGCTGGGTCAGTGGAGATTTCAGAAGGGCCGAGGGGAGCTGGGGGGGTCTCTCCAGAGACCCTCCCTCCCACTGGTCTCACTTGGCCCAAAGGGGCTTTTCCGAAAGGCAGCTGGACTTTCCTGGGTTTTCCCTTGAAGACTTTTCGCTTCTCCTCCCAGAAGCTTCTTCAGTTCTGACCGAAGGGTGGAGGGTGGAAGGACGGATATTCCTTGTGGTCATTTGGTCATTTTGAAAGCCGGTCCCTGGTTCTCTGAGGGGCCTTGAGGACCCCCAGGGGTTTATCTCGGCCCTCAGGGTCCCCTGAATTGGGGGGCAAAGGGGTGGGGAGCCTTCCTGGGGCTGCTGAAAGGACCCGTTGCAGGCAGGAGATGGGGGGTCCTTTCCCTCCCCCTACTCTGTTGAGGGGGGGCTGCTCAAATTTGATCTAGATGGCTTGGGGGTCTGGGGATCTTGGGGAGAAGAGAACCCCCAAATTCCCTAGTTAACCCCAAATTTTCTTTCCCATCAACTTCACTCCTACTGGCTGTCTTTGCATGATTTGTGGATTCAGCCCTCTTTTCTGTCACCCTGAAGCCCCCCAAGACCACCTCAAAGAGTCTCTAGCCCCCCTCACCTAAAAAATCGTTTTGAGTAGCCAATTTAGGGGAGCAATTCAGACTCCCCAATATCCTTCTCCCTCAGTTCCCCCCTCCCCTCCAGGTCCTGATTCAGCAATGGGGAATATGGGGTGGGGGATTCTGGGTCTCCTCCCCAAATTGAGAGTCTCCCCCAAAAAGGAATCCAGCTCATCTCTCCCCTCCCCTTAAAAAAATGGAGGTTCAGAAGAAAAACTGAGGTTGCAAAAACACTTTTGCCAAAAAAATCTCTTTTTCTTATACTCTTACAATCCTTTGTGGATTCAGGTCTGAAAATGCCTCAGTTTCCCTCTTTCGCTTTCGCTTTCTGTCTTCTTCCTCTTTCAGTGCAAGAAACTTTGGGGCTCAGGCGCTAATTTGGGGTGCACAAGGTCCCCCTCCCACCCAGCCACGGGGGGGGCGGAGAGAGGGGCCCAGCTGCCTCTTAACCCACCTTGGTTCCCTTCCCGAGACCCCTCTCCGTCCTCCTGAGCGAAGGGGCGGAGACCACGCAGAGATCGAGGTTCCTGCAGGCTCCCGTCTCTCTTGCCCTCCATCCCCTTTCTCCCTACTGGGGTCCCGGCCCCTCTCCTCCCCCCTCTGAGCCCCCTCCTTACCGGGGGTCTCCTTCCCCCCTTCGCTTCCGGGGATCCGGTCCAGCACCCCCACCAGCAGCAGCAGCGTCAGGGGGAGCCCAGCGGAGCCCATGGACGCCGCCCCACAAGCGCCCCCCAAAAGAGGGGAGAGAGACACGGAGGCTCCCCGCCCCAGAGGTGGAATAGATGGGTCTGGAGTGGGGGGAGGGGGCGTTAACCTCGAACCTCGGACCTGGGAGGGCCCAGGAAAGCGGAGGGACCAATGGGAGCCTCAGCGTCTCCCCAAGAAGGAATCCAGCTCAATTCTCCCCTCCCCTTAAAAAAATGGAGATTCAGAAGAAAAACTGAGGGTGCAAAAACACTTTTGCCAAAAAAAATCTCTTTTTCTTATACTTTTGGTGGCCTTTGTGGATTCAGCTCTGAAAATGCCTCAGTTTCCCTCTTTCGCTTTCCCTTTCCGTCTCCTTCCTCTTTCGGTGCAAGAAACTTTGGGGCTCAGGCGCTAATTCGGGGTGCGCAAGGTCCCCCTCCCACCCAGCCACGGGGGGAGGGGCGATAGAGGGGCCCGACTGCCTCTTATCCCACCTCGGCTGCCTTCCCGCGACCCCCACCCCACCTCGGCCACAACAAGGGCAGAGGGGAGGGGGCTCCCTCTCCGTCCTGCGGGGGAAAATGAGGCGAGGGAGGGGCGGAGACCACGCGGAGATCGAGGCTCCCGCAGCCTACTGCCTCTCTTGACCCCTTTCCCCACTTCTGGGGTCCCAGCCCCTTTCTTCCCCCCACCCTCAGGGGCTCTGACGGCCCCTCCCAACCCCTCTCCTCCCCCCCTCTGAGCCCCCTCCTTACCGGGGGTCTCCTTCCCCCCTTCGCTTCCGGCGATCCGGGCCAGCGCCCCCGCCAGCAGCAGCAGCAGCACCAGGAGGAGCCCAGCGGAGCCCATGGACGCCGCCCCACAAGCGCCCCAGAGAGAGAAGAGACAGAGACGCGGAGGCTCCCAGCCCCAGAGACGGAATCGGGGGTCTGGACTGGGGGGGGGGGGGGAAGGAGGCGTTTCCCTCGAACTTCGTAATTGGGAAGGCCCAGGAAAGCGGAGGGACCAATGGGATTTCTCCCTTGTGCAGCGTCATCGGTCTCCGGGCAGAGCCTCCCTTGACTTCGCCCGATGGAGGAGATAGTTGGGCGCAGAGAGAGAAGCGGAGAAAGTGGGAGGGGGAACAATCCCTTCAGTAGGGGTGGGGGGGCTGCATTTTAGGGGGGCGTTTCATGCCAGCTCCGGAGGGGAGGGCGGACTTCCTTTTGCGCCCCCCCTCGTGATTCTCAACCAGAGCCTCTTTTTCTCTGGGTGTCTGGAGGGGTGGACTAGATGCCCTTTCAGTTCCCAGAGGGAGCCTAGAGCAAAGTGGAGGCAGAGCTTGAACGCTCCTCCTGGGCTCGCCCGCTCAGTTTGGGGGCAGGAAGCCCCCCACAGCATTGGACCATGTGTGTGGAGGGGACTGCGGACACACGTACACACACACGCACACACACACCCTAACTCCGCAGACAATCGATACCCACGTTTAAGGGCCCTGAGACGAAACCTCCAGTGCTGAGTGGGGAGTCCTAGGGCCCCCCCCCATCTGGGGTCGCTATGTTGCAGCCGGGAAGATTTCTGTAAGTTGTGAAGTTGTGTCCTTTCCCTGGAGGGAGGGAGGGAGGGGGCTCCGCTGGGGGTCATTCCCGATCCGCAGGGGGTCCTCCTCCTCCTGGGGGTCCAGGCCCCACAGAGAGTTTCCCCCTTGGCCTGTCCCAATTCTGCCCCCTGAAGGGCGGCAGGAGAGGAGCCGTGTCGGGGTTCAGCCCGGAGCCAGGAGCGTCCGGGGCAGCTTCCCCTCCCCTCCCCCCGTCAGATGCAGGAGGGGCTGGGCTGGCGGAAGGCTTGGGGGGGGAAGAAGTGGGGAGAAGGGATGGGGAGACCTCATAGCCTGGAGGGGACCTTGGAGATCTTCTAGTCCATCTCCCTGCTCGAGGCGGGAGTCCTTACACCACAACCTTCTCCTTGAAGACCTCCAGGGATGGAGCCCCCCCCCCCAATTCCAGGTTCCACTGATTGATTGGGTCTCACGGGCAGAAGATCCCTCTCGATCCCTTCCAGGTCAGATCCCCCTCGGAGGCTCCGGACGGTCCCATCTTCCCTCCCAGGCTGAGCGACCTTCTCCGGGCTTCGGCTTCGGTCAGCCGCCGGGCGATCCCTGGCGAGGTTGCCCCCCCTCCGGGACCTGCCCGGGAGATCCCAAAGGGAGCGAGGGGGATCCCGAGGGCGGGAGTGGGTCTCCACCCGGTCTCCTCCTCCGGGAAGGGCCGCGAGTGGATCTCCCCTCCCACCCAGGGAAAGCCCGGCCGAGACCCCCGTTCCCCCCTCCCCTCCTCCCCCGGCAGAAGCCCCTGATCCGGGAATCTCCCCCGAGGGATCTGCGGCTCTTCCTCGCTCAGCCCGGCCCGATTCTCGGCCAGGGGAGCTTCAGGCGCGGCTTTTCCTCCCGCGTGGAGATTCCGGGCGGGTTTTTCTCCACGACCCTCTCCGGCTTTTCTGCGGGGGTTCCTCGAAACCCTCTTTTGAAGGGAAAGACCGTTTCCAAACACGGGCAGCCTTTCCCGCCCTTCCAAATCTCCGCCTTAATTCGAGATAAAGACTAACAAAGTCCCCGACAGCCCCGAAGACGCGGAGGAAGGAAAAGAGGATTCCGAGATTCAGGTCTGGCCAAAGGATTTCAGCTCCCTCAATCGGAGAAAGAATTCCCAGGATGAGCAGGACAGAATTCCCCATTCCCGCCTTTCGCCCTTTGCCAGGGAATTCAGCATTCTGACTGCCGGGAGGGGGGCGGGAAGGGAAGGTTGTGGGGAGAGGAATCCGCCCTGGGACTCGGTCCTCGGGATCCAGACTCTGAGAGGAACGCCGCTCTTCTGCATGGGAGGGGAAGGGAACCTTTGGCCGAAAAAGGAGAAGAAAAAAAGATCCACACCCCTGGGCGTGATGGCTGAGATTTTCCTCCAGGTAAATTGTTTTATATCCTTCTGACAGGGACGAAAGGACTGAGGGGTGGATAGACGGTATGTTAAACCAAAGGGTCAGTTTACAATTTGTCATCTAAATCGGAATTTTAATAGAAATTCTGTGGACTTCAATAATCCTTTGCCTTCAAATATAGGATGACAGGCTTAACCATTAATGTCTGAAAACCTTTTCTCTCCCCCCCCCCCAAACTCTCCAAAAAAACCAGACATTCCCCCAGCCCCAGAGGCGGAATCGGTGGGCCTGGATTGGAGGGGGGGGGGCATTTTTTCTCTCAAAGTCAGTCTTGGGAACGCCCAGAGATCCGAAAGGACCAATGGGAAATCTCCCTTCTGTAGCGTCATCGGTCTCCGGGCAGAGTCTCTCTCGAGTTCACCCAATGGAAGAGGCTGTCCGGCGCAGAGGGAGAAGCGGAGAAGGGGGGGGGTGAGAAGTCTTTTGGGGGGGCTTTTATGGGGAGAGAAATCAGCCCTGAAAGAAAAAGAAAAAAAGAAGAAAAAAATAGATGCATATCCATGGACAGGATGTATAAGAGGATCTGAGCAGATTTTCTTCCTTCTAGAATATCTCAATATTATTTTCAGAAGGATGGAAGGATGCACCGTATATTAAATAAAATAAATTTATAACACATAATTATAACCTGGAATATTAATAGACATTCTGTGGACTCCAGTAATCCTTTTCCTTCAGATATAGGATGACAGCCTTACCCATTAAAGTCTGAAAACCTTCCCCCCCCCCCCAAACTCTCCCAAAACCAGACATTCTGTTTCTTTTGTTTCCTTCCATCCAGAGAAAACCTTTTTTCTCGCCTTCTCCGGAGATTCGTGTTCGGGGGAGTTCCGCAAAGGCGGGTCGGGCAGAGCCTCCATTCCCGGCTCTGCTCCGAAGGGCTTTGGGGGTCCGGAGGGGGCCCGGATCCTTCCCGGGGACGGGGGGGCTGGAGGGCTCAGACTCCCCCCTGGCCCAGCACCAGCCCCGCCAGGCCAGAGCCGGGTCCCCCCCCCGCAGCCGAAGGAGGGCAGAGTTCGAATCTGCCCCCCAGTTGCGTGTCTGGACACAGCCGGTCGCCCAAAGTCTGTCCCGGATCCAGGCAGCCTCTGGGGGGAGGGAGGGGCCCCCATCGCTCGCCTGACCCGGGCAGAACCTCTGGGCTCCTTTCCTGCTCCCCCCCCCAAATATTGTGGTTTTCTCCCAGTTCTCACACACACACACACACACACACACACACACACACACACAACTCCTTCCCACAACCCCCGAAGAGGCGCCTGAGTCCCGCTTCCTCACCCCTCCCGCCCCCGGCCTGAAGCGCTGGGCTCCCCCGAAGCGGAACCGAGGAACCGGCCCTGATCCAGCAGGCAACAAGCCCGGATTCTTCCCCAAACCAAAATCATATCAGGTCTGTTTCTTTGGAAGACTTTCAATGTGAAAATATGAAATTGAATAGCTGGATCAGGAAAGGGTAGAATGGCCCAGAACGCAGCCTGGCAGTTGAGCGAGGGCGGGCTCCTGCGTGAGGCGATCTGTGCTCTGATTGGTTGCTGCGGGTGTAAAGGGGGAGTTTCCCTTTTTCCCGCCTTTTTCTTCTGTGGGCTCTGTCGCCTCTTTTGTGATTTACCTCACGATTTACCTCAGGATGTAGTGATATGCCTGACTATCTTATCTGCTGCAAATATGGATATCAAATATATTTATTGATGTAAAACTACAAGTTTGTGTCAGTGTCTCCCACTTCATTTGAACGGCTGCCGCTCAGTTCCTCAACATTAAATCTTTTTAGTTGTGCCTTCCAGTCCTGGGTTTCATTCCACTAAGTTTTCAGGAATTTCCACAATGACACACCTGCCTTTAGGTTTCAAGTTCACCCTGTTTATTTCTTAGTGTAGCGTTCAACCTGTTTATGCCTTCGTGTAGCCTTGGTGTAATTAGCATCTGAGTCCGTTTTGACAGACCCTGTGTTTGGTTTCCACATCCCCTCTCTTTTCTGCCCAAAGTTTCAAAAATCTGCTGTATCCACAGCAAGGAGGTTTTGTTCAGCAACTATTTTTTTTAAAGGAACAATTAATGAATGTTAAAGGAACATCTATCAGTTGAGGAGAAACTCTCAGGGCAGGAGGGGAGGGGCTCACCCCACTGCACAACAGTTGTGTATACACAGCCAGCCACACAAAGAGGGTCCCAGATCCAGGCAGCGCCTGATTAAAGCAGAACTCCTGTCCTCTTTTCATGTTTCCCCAGCAAGAGTTTGATTTTCTCTTCAATTCCTCCTCCCCCCCCCCCAGCCCTCCACACACACACACACAAACACACAGAGGAACTTTGTTTGTTTCCACAACCCCCAACAGCTGGAGAAGTGCTGGAGTTTCGCTTTCCCCCCCCCGCCCCCGGCCTGAAGCGCTGGGCTCCCCCGAAGCGGAACCCAGAAACCGGCCCCGATCCATCAGACAACAAGCCCGGATTCTTCCCCGGGGCAGCTCCGGGACTCTCCCGCTTCTCCCCGCGGCTGAGTCTCCGGGTGGGGCGGCCCCCTCGATCCTCTGCCCTCCCCCCTCCTAGAAGAGATTTAGGGGTCCCTCCCGACCCCCGAGGAGACCCCGGACAGCCCAGGGAAGAAACCGACGGAGGGTTGGAGAAACGTCCCCGGAGGCCCAAAGGACCCAAAGGCTCCGATTCTCCCCCTTCACACGTTACGGGGAGACTGGGCTCTCTGGGGGGGGGGGAGAAAGGGAGGCTCTGATGCCGGGAAAGAGGGAAGGAAAAAGAGGAAAAGGAGGAGAAGCAGGGAGGGGCTCTGTTGCAGTGGGGGGAGGGGGATGCTGAGGGAGGACCTGGAGGAGTGGGGGAGGGGTCTCCCCAGGGAAAATCTGTCCATGGGGGGGCGGGTTAAACGTTGACACCAACTTGACAGCAGGTAACCACCATTAGTCTGTCTGCTTAAAGGAGATCTCCGGTCTTTTCCCCACCAGTGAAAGCGCTGGGGATGGTGAGGACTAAACAAGGGTTCATTTCATGGCTGTTCAGTTACAAGGGCACTGAAAAAACTGACTCTTCTTTTTAAACTTTTTTATTGTTTTTAATGTTTTTTTAATAATTTCACGTGTATACCTGTGTTTAGCTTTGTGTATCCAACCCAGTCACTTGTTCTGAGATGGGTGGTTACATAAATTTCATAGCTAGATGATATAGATAGTAAGGAGGGGGGGGGGGGAGAGAGAGAGAGAGAGAGAGAGAGAGAGAGAGAGAGAGAGAGAGAGAGAGATGATAAATTATAGAGAAGATACAGATAGGGAGAGATAGATAGATAGATAGATAGATAGATAGATAGATAGATAGATAGATAGATAGATAGATAGATGAGATAAGATGATAAGATAAGATATAGAGAGATAATATAGAGAGAGATGTAGAGAGAGATGATAGAGATAAGAGAGTGGGAGGGAGAGAAAGAGGGAAAGAGGGAGGGAAGGAAAGAGAGAGAGAGACAGAGACAGACAGAGAGAGACAGACAGAGAGAGAGACAGAGAGAGAGAGAGAGAGAGAGAGAGAGAGAGAGAGAGACATCCTGGGATTTCCAGACCGCTTCATCCCAGGACTAGCCTGGACTGGCCTTGCAGAGTTTCTGAGATCAGCCCTGCTGAGGGAGGGATTTTCACCTGCTGACAGGGAGCCTTTCCTCTCTAGCTAATCTGAAAAGCTCTCTTCAAAAGTTGTTGAAGAGAGAAACTAGCACAGTGGTGGTGAACCTATGGCACGGGTGCCAGAGGTGGCACTCGGAGCCCTCACTGTGGGCACACGTGCCGTTGCCCCAGCCTTGCCTCCCCCCGCGACCCCCTCCTCTCCAGCAGCCCCCCTGAAGGACAGTCGCCCTTGAGTGTGGCCCACATGGAGCAGCGCAGCCAAGGACATGGCAGCCAGGCAGCGTAGACAAGACTCTGCCCTCACACCTCATCATGCACTTGATGCTGCAGGGTGCAGGCAGAGGGTGTGGCTGCCATAGCGCTGATGGGCTGCCTGGGCAATCTGCAGCAGGCCCTGGAGGTGGTGAGTGGTCCTGTGGGTAGATGGGTGGGGGATGGGGGGCAGAGTGGGGGGGCAGTTTTTGGGCACTCGTCTCTAAAAGGTTCACCATCACTGAAATAGTGTATCCATAACATGACTCCAAAGAAGGAGCTGCTGCTTCTTTACCCGTCATATAAAGTGTTTGATTTCATCTTCCAAAATACGTTCTCCTTGTGGCACACTGATCAAAATGGGTGAAATAATAAAATAAGTTAATTCCCATTTTAAAAAGCATGCTTTCAAACCGGCGCAAAGAATGGCAAGAATACTGGATTAAAAAAAACCAATGTAAAGCAGAGTTAGGGGGGTCTTATGGGGAACAGAAGGAGACAATTGTTCCTAGGCAGCAAAAGGAGGGAAAGAAAGGGAGCGAATGGATCAGACTCTAAGGAAGGATTTGGCCCGAAGGCTTTGAATTAAAGTGGTGGGGAGTCTCCTGGCCTTTCTCCACCTTGGATTTCAACGCCCAGAGGAGACGCCCCAAATGGGAAGCATCCAGAATCTGCTGTGCAAAAATATAACAGAATAACAGAATAACACAGTTGCAAGGGACCTTGGGGGTCCTCTAGTCCAGCCCCCTGCCCACAGAGGAGACTCTACACCACTTCAGACAAATGCCTGTCCAGTCTCTTCTTAAAAGCCTCCAGTGATGAAGCCATCACAACTTCTGGAGGCAAGCAGTTCCACTGATTAATTGTTCTCACTCTTAGGAAATTGCTCCTTCAATCCAGATCTCTCCTTAATAAATTTCCATCCTTTGCTTCTCGTCCTGCCTTCAGGGGCTTTGGAGAATCGCTTGGCCCCCTCTTCTTTGGGGCAGCCCCTCAAACAACTTTGATCAGCTATCACGTCACCCCTAGTCCTTCTTTTCTCGAGACTAGACAAACCCAATTTCTCAACCATTCCTTATGTTTCAGCCTCTGCCCCTCCCTAATCATCTTTGTTGCTCCTCTCTGCACTCTTTCTAGAGTCTCAACAACTTTTTTACATCGTGGTGACCAAAATTGGATGCAGTGTCCCAAATGTGGCCTTACCAAGGCCTTGTAAAGTGCTATTAAAACTTCAGGTGATCTTGATTCTGTCCCTCTGTTAAGGCAGCCTAGGACTCTTAGGGAGATTTGAGTCCAGTGGGGCTGACCCCCTAGTTCCCTTCTCTACTTTAAGGGGGACAAAGTTGTCTGCTAGCTTCATCAGGAGCTTGTTTGATCTCCCACTAGGCGCCAAAAAATGTGTCCCAGTTGATGTCAGGGTGGTCAAAGTCCCCCATGATTATTTTACTGTGCTTTCTCCATGCCTTAGCTAGTAAAAAGTTCATCTATTTCCTCTGTCTGGTTGGGTGGCCTGTAGTATAAACCTAGGCTAGGGGTAGGCAACCTTGGCTCTTTTATGACTCATGGACCTCAACTCCCAGAATTCCTGAGCCAGCATGGCTCAGCTTGGAAACATCTCCCTTTTCTCTCAGCGTGGCTGGCTCAGGAATTCTGGGAGTTGAGGTCCACGAGTCATAAAAGAGCCAAGGTTGCCTACCCCTGCCCTATGCCATTAGAATGAGTCCCAAAGAGGGAGGAGGAGGAAGGTGTTGGGTGCCAAAATGGGGCAGGACCCTCCAGTTGTGAAGCCTCAGGTGCTCCCAAATGGCTCCCCACGTGTGCTTTGGGAGGACTGCTGACCTTCTGGTCCTCAAAAATAGGCTTCAGGGGAAGCAGAGCAAGGGGGCCTATGAGCAGGAGGGGAGTCCTGCCCCTTCCCCTCCCTGGATCTTCCCACCCTCCTCCAGAACCAGTTTTGACTTCAGACCTGAAGTAGTCGGGATGGTTGATCCAGAGGCAGGGGGAGGTGTCAATCTGGGGAGGGGAAGAGGAGAAGGGAGGACCCTCCTGCGGGGGGGGGGAGGAAAGAGGAGGAGGAAGGAAGAATTCCAGGATTTTTCCTACAATGTTTATTCTTTTATAGCAAAGCGAAGGGAAGGGATTCGGAAGAAAAGTAATGAAGATGAAGCTGCTGTGGATTTAAAGCCGGGACAGATTTGGGTGTCTGGACTGACAGGCAGGCCCAGAGTCCCAGGGATCAGTCTAGATGGTCTCCACTGCCTCCTCACAAGAAAGAGAGGTCTTCAAAGGAAAGCCAGAGGGGTCTCAGCAGGAAAAGCTCCAGGCTGCCATTCTCCTCCCCCCCCCAATCTAAAATCTTGACCCTCCATTTTTCAGAGGTTGCAAAAAGAGACAGAAATTCATCAGCTAATGGAAAAAAGCCCCTTCTTTTCCCACCAGGAAGCAGGAAGGATGGCAGGATTAATTCATGAGTGCTGTAGAAAAAAAGAGATGGGGAGAAAATT